AGATTCTATCTACCCCAATTCAATCCAATCTGTACGTACGGCAATTGTTTTCCCAAAAAAAAAAAAAAAATATATATATATATATATATAAACGTTATTATAGGAAAATAAAATAAAATATATAGGATAAACCGCTACATAAATGCATTCATGTTTCGATGCATATCACCAGGCGATGGTTTATGACGGTTATCGAATGTAATATCCTATAATAAATATATTTCGCTATACTATTGCATTAAGACTTATCTATAATTAATATTATGAACGTTTGAATTTATATTTTATTCGTTCTCATTTCACATGTGTGTATATATGTATATATTTAACTGTTTAAATAAAATTATAACCGATTATATGATGATTAATTATCTTTTCCTTATGTATTGATTTATATTGCTCTGAATATAAATTCATACATTGAACTCTCATCATGGAGTTAACTTTTAATATTTTTATATGAAAAAGACCTCATTGGAATAATTCGTACCACCTACAGATTTGGTATTATTCATATATATATATATATATATATATATATATATATATATATATATATATATATGTATGTATGAATAAAATTAATTAAAAAAATCAATTTACCACATTCATATAGCCATTTCCCCACCTAGAGAGCGTGTCAATGCTAATTTTTTATCATACTTTTTAGTATTGACAAGCTCCAAAGAAATTATTATCTCTCTTGGCGCGAAAAGGACATATAAAATGGAATAAAAATGAGTTTCATTTTTATGTAATTCATTTCTATGCTCTATAATAAATACATTGAGCTCTCTATTGTGAATCAGTTTTAATATTTTATATTATTTGTATTCACTTGGATAACTTACCCACGGATTTGTACCTGTATATACATACACACATACACACACACACACACACACACACACACACATATATATATATATATATATATATATGTAAGTAGACAATGATTTTAACACCAAGTGGCGAAAGTCTATTTTTTAAAAAAATGTATTGCTGCTAATTATGTTTTTTCAAAAATGTATTGTTGGTCTTTTTTTCTCAAAAATGTATTGATGATAATTATGTTTTTTTTACAAATGTATTGCTAGTATTTTTTTCTCAAAAATGTATTGTTGGTAATTATTTTTTTTCAAAAATATATCGTTGGTATTTTTTCACAAAGATGTATTGCTGGTAATTATGCTTTATTCTAAAATGTATTACTGGTATTTTTTTAATATGTTGCTGGTAATTATGATTTTTTTTCAAACATGTATTGCTGGTATTTTTTCAGAAATGTTTTGCTAGTAATTTTTTTAAAAAATATTTTGCTTGTAATACTTTTTCTTAAAATGAATTGGTGATAAGTTTCTTTTCAAAAGTGTATTGCTGGTAATTGTTCTTTTCAAAAATCTGTTGCTTAGTAATATTTTTTTTTAAATGTGTTGCAGGTAATATTTTTTAACAAAAATATATTGCTGGTAATTTTTGTTTAAAGAATGTATTGCTGGTAATATTTTTAAATGGATTGCTGACAATTTTAATTTTTTCCATAAATATTTTGCAGTAAGTTTTTTTTTTATTTTCAAAAATGTATTGCTGTTAATTTAAAAAAAAATGTATTGCTGGTAATAAGATGTTTTTTTCAAAAAGGTATTTCTGGCAATATTTTTTAAGTGTATTGCTTGTAATATGTTAAAAAAAAACTGTATTGCTTGTAATATTTAAAAAAAACTGTATGGCTTGTAATAATTTAAAAAAAATATATTAAAACTCATTTTTACACTTTTATTGTGTTTTCCTCCTAGTTTGGAGTCCCATTGCTAGGACCCTAACGGGTGCTACAACCACGGTTCTGGAGGGAACAGGGAACACCAGCAATTAAGAGGTGTTTCCATGTTCCTCAAAACCTGCTGATCAGACGCCTTGTTGCCGGTTGTAGTTTATCGTCATATCCAGAGACGCGGATGGAGTATATTGTCATAACCAGGACGCGTACGTATATAAAATTTATTTTAAGTCCGTCGTTGTTAGAAAACACCTGACTTATAAAACTTTTAGGATAAGCTAAATTGTAGAAAGTCATTACTTTTACAACTTTAATTTTGATTAATTTTAATTATTATTGTGGTACAGGGAGTGTAAATCAAACATGGTTGAAATAACCCAACCCTTCGACCCTTAAACGATCAGCTTCCAACACCTTTTATTTTCTCACGGCACAATGAATTTCAGTCCGTAAAAATATTCCATAAATTTAAATAATTTCTTATACAGCCAATATTGGATTTTAAATTTTTTCTCGAGTGATATACGTCCATATTTTTCTTTTCGTTTTTATTAACGTTTCTTTCTTTTTCTTTTTCTGTTTTTTTTTTTTTTTTTTTTTTTTTTTTTACCGCGCCATTTTGCATTTTATCGTCTGCTGTCTGTTTTACATATGGCTAAGGGACTTGCTGACGGCAATCACGTTCATAGCTTTCTTTTTTGCTTCCCGTTAATTTTCTCCGTCATTTTCGCCTGCATTCATAATTTTTACAATTTTTTTTTTTTAAATATGTTTTTAATTATTTATATTTTTACGTGAGTTTGCTGCTCGGGCAAGAGTTTTGTTTTCTTCATCTTCATTTAATGCGATCACTTTAATTTTTTTTTTCTTTCATTCACGAGAAATTATTCCACGTTAGAATATAGCGAGATCTTCTCATGGATAAGTCTCATCTATCTATCTATCTATCTATCTATCTATCTATCTATCTATCTATCTATCTATCTATCTATCTCGCTAGCTAAGTCTGTTCCTATCTATCTATCTATCTATCTCGTTAGCTAAGTCTGTTCTTATCTATCTATATATGTATCTATCTATCTCAGACTGTTCAATATCTATCTATCTATCTATCTATCTATCTATCTATCTATCTATCTATCTATCTATCTATCTATCTATTATCTAAGTAAGTCTGTTCTTATCTATCTATCTATCTATCTATCTATCTATCTATCTATCTATCTATCTATCTATCTCGTTAGCTAAGTCTGTTCTTATCTATCTATCTATCTATCTATCTATCTATCTATCTATCTATCTATCTCAGCCTGTTCATTACCTATTTATCTGTCTATCTATCTATGTAACTCAGACTGTTCAATATCTATCTATCTATCTATCTATCTATCTATCTATCTATCTATCTATCTATCTCATCGTCTTAAAAAAAACGATATAGACAACATTTAGCCAATAATCTCTGTCATCCTAATCTCTACCCAGTTCTTCCTTTTTCATTCCGGTGTCATATATGAGCTGATCGATGAGGGCCCATGGTGGTCTACCGCTATTTCTTCCTCCCCCATAATTTGTACCCCATAGTCTAAGTTGATGCACAATTTCTTGTTTACTTCTGCAGATTCTATCTACCCCCAATTCAATCCAATCTGTACGTACGGCAATTGTTTTCCAAAAAGAAAAAAAAAAGACGTTTCTTTCGCATCTCGTCCTATGGTCGCTGTTCGATCCCAACACTAATCTCCCATTTTAAAGTGCGATTTTAAAGACCATTTTTACCCTTTTAGCTTTTAATCAAATCAGTTTAAACACTTTCTTTTTCTCCGGTAACTCTTCCCACATTCTCTCTACATTTCACTGTAAAATCCAAATTTGGTAACCGTTTACAGTTTTTGCATCTACTTCTTCTTTCATCGATATCTCATTGCATTTCAATTGCATTTGCTAATGGTCGTTTGATTCCTCAAAATGATTTACAATTTCTCTTCAAAATTGCCTCACGACATTTACTTGGACACCATATTTTCCTACGATGTAATTATTCGATAGTAATTTCTTTAGGCATTTTCGAACTTTTGTTCTTCTATTTCTACGAAGCATTTTGTTTGTTACCAAAGGGCGTTCTTTCTTTCTTTCTTTCTTTCTTTCTTTCTTTCGTTCTTTCATTCTTTCTTTCTTTCTTTCTTTCTTTCTTTCTTTCGTTCTTTCTTTCTTTCTTTCTTTCGCTTGCTCGACGTGATTATTCATTGTTTCTTTGTTTTATTGGTTCGTTTTTTCTTTCTTAATTTCTTTCTGATTTTAACATTCATTCTTTATTCATGTCTCTTTCTTTCTTTCTTTCTTTCTTTCTTTCTTTCATTCTTTCTTTCTTTCTTTCTTTCTTTCTTGCATTCTTGCTTTCTTTCATTCTTTCTTTCTTTCTTTCACTTGCTCGACGTGTGATTATTCATTGTTTCTTTGTTTTATTATTGTTTTTTTCTTTCTTAATTTCTTTCTGATTTTAACATTCATTCTTTATTCATGTCTCTTTCTTTCTTTCTTTCTTTCATTCTTTCTTTCTTTCATTCTTTCTTTCTTTCTTTCTTTCTTTCTTGCATTCTTGCTTTCTTTCATTCTTTCTTTTCTTTTTTTTCACTTTTCTCTCGACGTGTGATTATTCATTGTTTCTTTTCTTTTATTGGTGTTTTTCTTTCTTAATTTCTTACTGATTTTAACATTCATTCTTTATTCATGTCTCTTTCTTTCTTTCTTTCTTTCTTTCTTTCTTTCCCTTGCTCGACGTGTGATTATTCATTGTTTCTTTGTTTTATTGGTGTTTTTTCTTTCTTAATTTCTTACTGATTTTAACATTCATTCTTTATTCATGTCTCTTTCTTTCTTTCTTTCTTTCTTTCTTTCTTTCTTTCTTTCTTTCATTCTTTCTTTCTTTCATTCTTTCTTTCTTTCTTGCATTCTTGCTTTCTTTCATTCTTTCTTTCTTTCTTTCACTTGCTCGACGTGTGATTATTCATTGTTTCTTTGTTTTATTGGTGTTTTTTTCTTTCTTAATTTCTTACTGATTTTAACATTCATTCTTTATTCATGTCTCTTTCTTTCTTTCTTTCTTTCTTTCTTTCTTTCTTTCCCTTGCTCGACGTATGTGATTATTCATTGTTTCTTTTTTCTTTATTGGTGTTTTTTTCTTTCTTAATTTCTTACTGATTTTAACATTCATTCTTTATTCATGTCTCTTTCTTTCATTCTTTCTTTCTTTCTTTCTTTCTTTCTTTCTTTCTTTCCCTTGCTCGACGTGTGATTATTCATTGTTTCTTTGTTTTATTGGTGTTTTTTCTTTCTTAATTTCTTACTGATTTTAACATTCATTCTTTATTCATGTCTCTTTCTTTCTTTCTTTCATTCATTCTTTCTTTCTTTCTTTCATTCTTGTTTTCTTTCTTTCTTTCTTTCTTTCGCTTGCTCGATGTGTGATTATTCATTGTTTGTTTTATTGGTGTTTTTTCTTTCTTAATTTCTTTCTGAGTTTAACATTCATTCTTTATTCCTCTCTCTCTCTTTCTTTCTTTCTTTCTTATCGTTTTTCTCTTTCTTTCAGAATACTTCTTTCCCTTCTATCTTTCTTTCCTTTTCTCATCATTTCTCTTTCTTCCTATATCTTCTTTCTTTCTGACATTTTGTTCATATTTTTCTTTTTCTTTCTATGATTTTTTTAATTCTTCACTATTTTTGGCTTTCGTTTTTCTTTCTTTATTTCTTTCTCTTGTGTCTCTTTACATCATCTTTTTTTATCTATCAATCAATTTTTTAATTCATTCTTTATACCTTTCTT